TTAGCTAACACCAAAGGTAATACTTCAGGCAATCCATTTGCCTAGGCTTACATGGCGATATAAGCCCAGTCAAAACACCTAATAGTCAAGGAATTCTGACAAAATACTTGCTATCATTTTTTTGGTTAAAGACAATTCTTCACGGCAAAGAAAAGGACTTTTAGTGCACTTCACGTCTTCGATTGTAGTGCCATATCAACCTCCTGTAGCCTGCCCGAGCCCATAAACTAAACCTCCTTCCCATTTGATCACCAAGCTTTTCCCAACTTGTTGATTAACATCCAGCCCTCATCCACCTACTCCAGGTTTCTCGGCAAACTACTTGGAGATTTGTGAGTAGCATGCACCGACCGTAGAAAATCAGTGTACCGAAATGTCATAACTCTTGGCTTTCGTACTCCACTTCAAATGATTTTAACACCAACTAAACAGGCTCGAAAAGTGAAACTGCATATCTTTCATGTCCTGTTCCCCTCTAGAGCGACAAGTAAAACTCGGTTAGGCCACTGTTACCGCTGCCAAGTTTTTCCCATTCCGAAGCACTTTTTTCATGCATGTTCATAATGCATATGGAGGTCACAGGAATCGACCACTGATCCCACCTGAGGCAAACATCTGCAATGGCAGACCCATGAAACAAGCTTAGGAGGGATGATGATCGTAAAGTTAAAGTACAAGCTTTCTTGAATAAAAATATATTTGTGCCACAAAAAAATAAAATATCCACCGTGCTCTTCAATTACACATAACTGCGTGTGTGAGTCGGTAGGTGAGCGAGTGTTACAAGGAAAAGAGAATAGGGTAACGGATGGGGAGGGAGGGTAAAATTAAGAGGGAGACAGATCTACCCTAATCTACTTGACAAGAAGGGGAGGAGAGCAAGGAGAGAGAGGGAGGGAGTACTTAATCGACCACCTCACACAAAAGCAGAAGGCACGCTTGGTGATCATCTTTGTGTTGACAGTGCGAATGGCTCGACTAGCTACAAGAGTGAGAGAACATTCCTCTAGCTACTGCGCTGGTGTTGAGGTCTTTAACTACTGGTGCCTCTGCTGACTAATGGCTAGCGTACATCCATTGGAAGGTTAGTTATGTCTAATGGAAGGTTCATCACATCTACAACCAAAAGAAAAGCGGAAATATGAAACCGATTTATCATAGTCGATTTCACCCCTTCAAAAATCAACTAACTTGTCACAAGAGCATCCCAGAATTCATCTGTATCTGAAGGCATGTCCGTATCCAATTCAACCTCACTGAACAGCGACAATTCCCGTTGTTGTAACAATTGCTGCTGTTGTTGTGAAGGCTGATCCTTAATGGTACAGGAAGTAGACGAGACAAAACTCTCAGGTAAAGATGGAGGCGAGGATTCACTTGAACAAAAGGACCCACTGGTACATATCTGTTTTTCCTGATTCAATTCGTCACCGCTGCTTGGTGTGATACTAATGGAGGAGAGAATGTCGTCGAAACTGAGACTCGTTAGTAAGGAATCAGATTTTGCATCCTCATTCTCTTCCAGCATTGCCAGAGTCTCTGGATCCAACTCCTGGAGCATATCAGGCAGGTTCAATGCCGGAGACGAAGTTGCCGCCGGCCACTTTTCTGAAGGTTTAAGAAAATCAGAAAAATATGGAGCTTTGCGCCTACAAATTTATTCGTTTGTCGAATAAATTTCAGTTACTCTCACCAGTTTGAGACGGTTCGGCGGTGGTGTGAGGTGAGCTAAGTCGGGGAATTTTGTTAGAGTGCTGAAGGGGGATTTCATTGCACTCGCCTGGTACAAGAAAGTTGAAAGACGAATTCTGTGTAAGGGGAGATATCGCTCTGACCAAACTCGGCTGCGGAGCACTGATACTTCGTGCATAGATGACCCAGGGAGTTGGCACCAGTGTCTGTGATGCCAAACAAGCAGGAGGCTAAAAGGTTGCATAATTTCTTACACTTCTGTATATTTGAAAGTAAAAAAAAGAACATTCAAGACTTCAAGTCTGACTATGACCATGCAACAACAACTTGATTGGTTCAGGTGCCGTAAAAGGTGTTTCTATGACCTTGAGGACATATGCAATTCACGTCTGGTACAAGAACATGAGAAGAAGGCATCTGAGCAAAAATCTTCTTGAGATAAGACGTTCAAAATTATAATAAAATAGAAAATTACCCAGTATGAAAGCCGAAACACGAACAGACGACCGCGTCCATAAAGCAAATAGCCCCCAGGCACTCATCACACCATAATCTATGCGTGTTCATGAGTTAGGACTATGGCTTTCTGAACGTACATTAACGCGGAATAAACTCCTAGCCGACTAGATCGGCTAGGCAACCCCTGGCAGTGCGCCTCACACTACCACTAAACAAACTTACCCTACGATCAAAATAACCGCGAAAAAGTGAGCCCTTTTAAAAAGGCAAATCTGATGTAC